CATTTTAGTAGCCCCTCGGATCATTTTAGTAGCCCTCCTCTGGCCCCGCTCCAACAGGTCCATGTGCTCCTTGTGCTGAGGGCTCCAGAGCTGGACGCAGGGCTCCAGGGGAGGTCTCCACAGAGCAGAGCAGAGGGGCAGAATCCCCTTCCTCGCCCTGCGGGCCTCGCTTCTCTTGATACTGTAATACTTCTTCACTGATAATAAATTTTAAACTCGACAAGCAAATAACGTAAAATTCTGATGCACTGAGGGAAGGTTGACAACTTGTAACACCAGATTTTTCTGTTGCAACTCTTCTCTTCCAGCAGCAAAGGAAGCCAGTGGAATTACTTTTCGAAGGAAGCAGGATGTTATTCCAGGAAGCTAATTAAATGAGCTATAAATCCCACGCAATATTTCTATAAATTTTCCAGCCCTCCACCGGATTCCCTGCAGTACGTCCTACCCGCTGCCGTAGGCTGTTCTGGGGTAGAGCAACCTCCGGCCTTCCCTTTGAGGCTGAACAGAATAGAACTAGGCTAAGTTGCAGAATTTTAATGCCTTGAGAAAAAGAGAAGTAACCTGAAAAAGGATACTGATTGAACACCTGCCGGAGGTGCTGGAAGAACTTTCCCCAGCTTGCAGTTAGTGTAGGAGGAAGGTTGATATTCCAGAGAACAGAGACCTCAATCTTCAGAGCAGCAAGGACAATCTATATAAAGCTTTCACTACAAGCATTTGATACCAAACTGTATTTTTATCATATTTCTCAAAGAGTCCAAAACTCTGCCGTTCATTGCCCGCGTGCCAGTACACCTGAGTCGAAGGTGCCCCACCAAGCGCGCAACATTTGTCTTTGGGAATGCAAAGATCAAACGTGAGTCGTGTTCAGTGCTGAACTGCTGGAGATGTCATTGTAGAAGCTCGTGACAATCCGCTTTATTGAACTGGTAATCCCTCCAGCAAGTTAAATTATTTTCTTGAGTCACCTTGCTGAGTCACTCTGATATCTTGAGATGCGGCTTTTTTTTCTTCCCGATGGTGTCTCTTTCAGACAGAAGTTGTTAACGCAAGTGGTGTCGAATTATTAAAAGATTGAGTCTGAAGCAGCAATTTGGAAAGAACTGAGGAGGACTCTCATTTATCGTCTGACATGTTAAGAGCAGCATAAGTTCATGCACAGACCCCTTCCAACACAAAGACCCCCACCCAAACGCCACCTCGCCAAAAAAGAAAGAACAAAATGACAGCGCCATGTATCATCATATCTAATAAACTGTTCAACACCTGGGAAAGAATGAAAAAAATAAGATCTTCTGCCTTTGAATTTACTGCAGGATAGAACTTAATTACAGGAACAGAACTTCCAAAAATAAAGTTCACAAGCGTATTGTTAGCCGAAGGGCTTTTTTCACCCTTCAAATCACTTTAGGAGAATGCATTTCCGATTGCCTCCAGCTTTTAATTAAATGAGTATTTTTAACAGGCTGAAGTAAAACGAATACTTTTAGTAAAACGTTGTACCTCCTAGTTAGATACTAAATGCAGATTCTGTGTTTTAAGACGTAATTTTACTTCTTTTTTCAGCGCCTTTTATTTCTTCAGATAAATGGGACGAGAGTCTACACCCGCTGGCATTCCAAACCACGTGTCAGCCATTTACAGCAACCAAGGGGTTGGACTCTAAGCTTTCATGATACTAAAAGACCTCTTCAGTCAATCGTTTCTTACCTTTCAGCTAACCAGAAGGTAGACCTCCATGTCTGTCACTGTCCCAGGAGAACACCGGCGTGGTTAATAATTCTCTTGGTGTCATTCTCAGAAGCACAGTTGCCATCACTACTGTTTGACTCTCGTCTCGTCTGGCAAATGGGAAAAAAATCAGCAGTGGGACGACTGAACGTGGTAACAGTCTTGACATCCCACGCCTGAGAGGTGTCGTAAGCTTAATTTCTGCTAACACTTGACTTAATTCAGAACTGACAGCTACTCAGCCTAAAAGCTAAAAGTGTTGTTATCCACGCCGAGCGTGATGTTGTCCTTAAGTCCAAACCTTCCCATTTTCATGGTCAGACTTGGCTTGCTCCAGGGTGGACGTAACAGCGGTTTTCAGAGTTAAAGGCACAGTATTCTAGGGGAGCGTAGCTTGCCGTCAGACTTAGGCCAAGATATTTTTCTCTTCATGACCTGGTCTTCCATGGAGGATTTTAGGCTTCACTCATCATTTCATTCAGACGAAATGAACTATCAGACTAGGGCTTTTCTTCTTTAACAAATCTTTCCAGCTAACATAACTAGATTAATCCTTCTAAAACCCGCAGAACATTCTTGCTGGTTTATTGACTGATTCACTCTGAGTGCCATTAGCCTTCAGAATAGGGAAGCGACTGCATTTTTCAAATGGAACGTATAAAACTCTTAATAGTGCACAGAGAGTCCTTGTTAATGCCACGTCGCCTGTTCGTTACCCAAACAGCTATTAAGATGCTGATTTTTCTTCCAAATTGCGTGTAGTCTTTTAACGTCTTCGGGCTGGTAATTGGAAGCTGTTAGAAGTGGTGAAAATTGGACAATGCTCAGAAGGTTGATCTTCACTACTTCTGTCAGAGGAGGTCTTCTGCAGACAGCAGAATGCTTTGGGAAAAAAATGGTGATTTATTACTTCATAGCTAGCTAAGCTTTCAAACATGAAATCACATTTTTTCTTCATGAGAACGAACTTATCTCTCAGTCCTAAGCACGGGTATCTGTATTCTTCATAAACAGGATGTTCAGCAAAGGTATCGGGGCAGGAAATTTAATCCTGCTTTATGATAATTCACACCTGTATTTATTTATTTGGATCAATCTGTGTGCCTTTTAAATTCTTGATACAGCGAATAGGATTCCTTAGACACGGCTATGAGCGTTATTTAGCTGTTGCTTTTTATGGGAAGACAGCAGGAACAAATCGCCGCCTTCATTCTGTTCCTTCTGAAAACACCAGGTGAAAATGTTTATAAAGGAAAATGTTTTCTTCCGGGAAAAGGACCAGGACACAAAGTTTGAGATTGGGTCACGGAGCCCAGAGGACTTCCCTCACTTGTCTTCGTGCGTGAAGGTGGGAGCTTCTGGATGGGCAGCGCAGGAGTGGCAGCCCCGCAGGCTGGGCACGCGCAATTTTAATACTGTGTTCTGCTGAAGCATCTCCGGCAAAACCCTGCCGATGAAGTGACGCATCCAAACTGCCGGCTTCCTCATTTACCCCCCCCATGCGAAATTCATATATGAATCTCTGGTAGCTACGGTAATAATGCAGGAGTACTTCTAGCAAATGAACTGTAATAAGGGTGGCAGAAGACACTTCTCAGCAAAGCCAGTAACAGCAATTATCTAGCTTGCGTCTCGGGAGTCTGAATTCATAATGATAAAGATTGCTGAGTCCTGACGATAAAAGCTTTGACATACCTACCGGCGGCAGGCACGCGGCCGCGCTGCTCCCCGCCTGTAACGGGAGAGGTCTGCGTAAAGCACCTTTTCAGGAGATGGGAAAGACGCAATTATGGTGTATGATTCTCTGGATCTGCTCCATGTTGGTAGGTAATTCTCAACCTCACTGGTTCACAGAAGCGAGTATTATTGTCTGTGGCTTTAAAACCGAATCTGTGGAGAGATGTAGCAGTGATTTAACAGATTTAATAGAGAACTAACCATGAGCAGACTGCTCCTGCCTGAACAGTCCTACTGAAATCAGCCTCCAAGAAGCCCGCACAATAATTCTCATGAGTAATAGTTACTTCAATGAATAAGGTTTTCCAGGGTCAGAAACAGACACTAGATCATTGAATAGCCACATTTTTTTCCTATGATATTACCAGAACTCATTAATTAGGACATGGTTTGGAGGTGACAGGAATGTTAGGAACTATTAGAGTGATCATCCGCTTTGAAAAAAGATTCATTTCAGTGATGCTAGAGAGAAGTAAAGCTGACCTAATTACCCACAGCAATGTTAGAGAACAAAGTGGCAAAACCTGGTCAGGAACAGGAGCGAGTAATGGTTTACCTCAATCAAACCCGAAACGGTGTAAATCCGATTCGCACGGCTGACACAGGAGGGAGCCAGCTGGGCTACGGCCCCTTGAGCGTTCCTCAGGACAGAAGCCAACAGAGCCAAATTCCAACTTAAACCCCTCTTCCCTTTTGACTGAAGAAGAAATATCCTTCTGGTTATGGGCTCCTCTCTGTCTTTCCCAATTTCTCGGGAACACAAACCTTCTGCAGAGCAGAGCATTTACAAACCAACGCATGCCAACCGCTTTCTCTTAGGTCATTCACAGCAGCAGAGGTGCTTGGACACTCATTTCCTACCCTTCATCTAGCGTCCTGAGTGGCCGTTAGAAGGAAAAACACGGGCAGCAAGAAGAGGACTTTATGGACACCCCAAGAAATCAGCCTGATTACCTCTGCCTTCACTCCTAGCCGCCTCCTCAAACTCTCTATCAATCGTTCCCCTATTAAAGAGCCAGAGTAAATTTAGAGAGATATAATCAAGCTATGAAATCCTTGCAGATCAAAAGCTGGCTTGGTACCGTGGCACCTCCAATAGAGAAGACGTTCTTCAAAAGCTGGGCGCTAGTTTAAGTTAAATTTAACATCACAAAGTTCAGCGGGCTGGTCAGTTGACCATCTTGGAGAATAAGCTTAACCAGGTATAGCACCTCTGAAAAACTGCAAACGATTGCTTTCTAATTTTAAAATAGTAAATGCCTAGAGGAAGTAGCCTGTTGGGTTTTTTGACTCGCACTATCATTTATTCCATTTTTGGAAAAAAAACCCCAAACCAAACCCACCTTTAAATGGCTGGGGGTTTGTAAGTGAAATATTGGCAATGAAGTTCAATCATTGCCATGGCAACATTGTGGTTGCTGTTGTGTCACGAGAGAAATGGATTTCATTGCTTTGCAATTACTTGGCCGGCTGTCTGCCAGCATACGGCACGTGAGGTACTAGGGTTTCGGTTGACTCAACGGGAGGTGGGTTTCACCCCAAGCCCCGCGTTAAGTGTAGTTATGCTGGAGGTGAGCATTTAACTGCAAACATGGATGCTTTAGGTGGTCTCCGCTCTTTCACCCACCTATTATTTTTGAGCTTATCTGCAGATGGTGTGGCTTATTCTCTAGAGTCCCGTTGCTTTTAAGAAGATTAAACTGCAGAGCAGATTTTAAGGATTATTGACCTGTTTATTATCAAATCCCATCAGTTGTGGCAGTGATTAAGAGACAAGCAGCATTACTAAGGGAAATACAGTTTATACTTTTTTTTTTTTTGCTGAGATACATCACTGAATTTTCATGATCGAAAAACCATAAAGAAATTTGGAAGAGACGCACTACCCAGCACTTACCTTCAGCAGCCCGAGTGAAATATCTTGTCTACTGTGGGTGCAGATGTAGAGATACACCAAGACATTAGTAAAGATTGCAATGAAACTTATGCATTTTACATATTGGTAAATATTTTCATTACACTAACATACTGAAAGTACATGAAAATGTATAAATTGTGTATTCCCTGCGTGCTTTCATTTGAAATGTACTGTTTTGTGGAGAAGGGGATAAATATTGCAGGGTAAATTATATCAGCTGAGACTTCTTAAAATGTTCTTGTGGCCTGGGGGAGCCTGCAGATACACAGTCCAGTGCCATTGCCAGGAGCATGGGGATGATTCTGATCTCCATTCCACCGGGACATTCCTGCAGGAAATTGCCCATGGAAGAGGCAGGGTTTGAACCAATTTGGTTCTACACCTTAAAGGTCCAAGCGCAGGGATCGATGTGAGGGGAGCAGAACTCTCCTCTGCATGCTAAGACAGGGAGACTCCTTCCCCCAGTTCTTGCTTGCCCCTGCTGCCTCCTCTCCCTCCTCTGCGGAGGGAACCCTGTCCAGTTTCAGTCTGCTCCAATGGACACGTCTTCCCCCATCAAAAATGGGGTGACTTGTGTTTCTCCATGCACTGCTGTCGACCAAAGGCCATTCCGTTGCTGCCATCGCGGTTGGAGCAGAGTTTGCGCAAAAGCTATAGGGTTGGGAATCTGCTCCTGGGTTTCATAACCATTTCAATTTTTCTTTTTTTTTTTTTTTTTAATTAACTGGAGATCCAAGTAAAAGCCCAGTTTTTAGAAGACAGTAAGAGCTCTTTGTCTTAGAAAGATAGCAGTGTGGTGCTGCTTTTCCAGAGGGACAGGTTGGAAGGGGACTGGAAGAAGCAAGTATGTCTTAACTGCCGTCTTCCTTGAAAGCTCCAGTGAATGCAACCTTTTTTAGTTGCGTTACCACTTTGATTCAATTTACTCCCTTGGCACAGCCAGCTTGGTCTGCGGACCGCTGCAAAAAGACTCACAGCCTCTCGTCCACCCGCTTTCTCTTAGCAGCATCCCTGATGCCAGGACTGCGACGAGGGCCGGACCCCGAGAGCACCGCAGGTGGCAGGGGACCCTCCTTGGGAGATTGCTCCCTGCCGCTGTCTGGAAAGCTGTGACACTGCCATGGGTGTGGAAGGGACATGGCTCTCCTCTGACAAGTTTTACCATATTATAAATGCCTTGCATACAACATACCGAAACAAAACACCTGTGCTGTGCAGCTGCCTTGCCTTCGGGCTTTTCCAGTCCGGCTCCATTTTAGGAACTCAGCTGGCCAGAAGCTGTGTTTTGGGGGCAGGATGAGACATCACTTAACAGCAGCTCAGTGCTAAGACCCTCCAGCCTGCCGTGTCTAGGAAAAAGGAATAGTGGTAATTTTGACATTTGAGTCACTTATTTGGCATCTGAACGACCTCCTCTTTGAAATGAATAAAGCTGCTGACTAATCGCTGAACTATCGGTACAGACCTTCTGCCTCTGTGAAATGAGGAGGAGTTTGCTGTATCCTGTGTTTCTGAAAGATGAAGATGCAGTTGTTGGCTTTTTCCAGCCAATAAGATTTTAAACAAATTGGTTTCCCTTACTTCAAACGAATCATAGATTTCCAGTACTGGCTGCTTGCTTCTCATTTGGCTGAAATCTCCCTGCACAGCCACCCTTTCTGAGTGCTTTCCTCCTGCTTTTCGCATTTGAATTCTTGCTATGTCCATTTTAGAACCTCAGCCATTTTATAATCTGAGTTACCCACTCTCAATTCTCAAACCTCTTCCAGAAGAAGCAATTTAAAGTCTACCTCCCGCTTCCTCTCCTCACCTTCCCTCCTACACAATCTCCATCTCATCTTTGATGCAGCAAACATTTATTTTTCCTTAAATTTTATTGAGTTGTGAATTACATGTTGCTCCCTCCATAGCACTTTGGAGAAATAAAACTGACAAACTGAGCTGCACAAGAGGATGAGCTAGAAAATAAGTGAACTGAAAATATGAAAAAAAAATCAGAATTATTAAAGAAGAGTGCTGGAGAACTACAGTAGAATTGAATTTCCAGACACGATGGAGATATATGGATTTGGCATTTTAATGCATACACTTATGTGGCGATGGCTTTTAGGACAGGAATAAGGCAATGAGCTTTAAAGCATTCATTACCTAAACAAAATTCTCCCTCCCTGTCTGTGGTGTTCCAGCTCAATCTTTCTCTTCCTCTTTTTCGCCCTTTATCATGTCCCTTTTCTTGTTTTTTTTCCCTTTCCTATGTGCTTTAACACGCAGGTGTAGAACAATATAGTAATTGCCACAGGTTTATGATGAGCTCATCAATGTGAAGTGTTACAAAGAGTTAGCATTTATAGAATCATAGAATCATTAAGGTTGGAAAAGACCTCCAAGATCATCAAGTCCAACCATCAACCCAACACCCCCATGCCTACTAAACCATGTCTCAAAGTGCCATGTCTACATGGTTTTTGAACACCTCCAGGGATGGGGACTCCACCACCTCTCTGGGCAGCCCCTTCCAGTGCTTCACCACTCTTTCAGTGAAGAAATTTTCCCAATATCCAATTGAAACCTCCCCTGACGCAACTTGAGGATGTTTCCTCTCATCCTATTGCTTATTACTTGGGAGAAGAGACAACACCCCCGGGTCCCCCAGCTGCTCCCCATTAGCCTTGTGCTCCAGATCCCTCCCCAGCTTTGTTGCCCTTCCCCTTTGTTTGATGCCTTTCAGGAAAGTCTACAGGAATAGGTGTTACTCTTCATGTTTTATAAGAGGAAACAAAGGTACGTTTTATTTTCATGATACCTGCGGTCCCATATTGCATAACCCCCCCTAAACATTGGCTCTTGGTATAAAATGGCTCATTTCTGAAATGCTTTCAAAACCAGATACGACTTTGCCACTAGGTATAAAGTACATAAGCACAGCTTGCTTTTTATTCTCCTGATGATCAAATACTGTAATTTCGACATAGCAATAATTCTACTCTACTCAGTGGAGTTCTCACCATGTGTAATGGTTGCGAGACCAAGCCAAATGAGCTCATGTGCGTTGGTTTGTGAACTGTGACGCCAGGAGCGCGTTGCGGTGAGGATCAATTTTAATCACAATAATTGATCCGTTCCCTTAGTCATTCCTAATGTCAGTCACGCATGATGCGCAGAAGAAAGTAAATATTCAAAAGAAATTCAGGGGATAGGACATTAGAGGAAGTAAATCTAGGTATGATACAAACACTACCAAGAACTTTAAAAGGAACGCTGTGGAGAACTCTGCTGCAATTAAAATGCAATTTTTCTTACCAGATGCCAAGTAAAAGCGATACAAGGATTTGACTCACGTTGTATTTAAAGTTTATTTATAGCAGAAAGGAATTAAAGTGATAAAGACATTAGGGAATGAGGGACATTGGCTAGCCAATGCATTCCTACGTCTCTGAAGAAAAAGCTGTTGGCTACAGAAGGCTGAATGATGTTAGCCGTTGGGGTGAGCCAGGCGGCTTGGCCTCCTCGGCCTTTCCTGATGGAGGAACACTGGCGCAGGAACGTGCACGCGTTGCCCACTGGCTACTCTGCTCTTCCAGTTGCAGCAATATCCATTACAGCAGATGGACCCTGAAACGGTGAGAATTAACTGATGGCCCGAAACGGTGGTGACGCACCAGATGTCCGTTGCAAAAGGCTGGCAACTGCAGCAAGCGAAGTTCAAAGAGTTAAAGACGAAGTGCAAAATTAGTCCTGGTTCAGCATGGCAAGATGATGGCAAAACATAAGTCTGCCCAGTTTCTATACTTGGGTAAACGCAGATGTTCTGACGGTAGGGGGCCATGTGCCCGCGGATGTAAAAAGGCTTGTTAATCTGGGCAGTTTTTTGCACCACACACTGTGCAATCATAAATCACAAAATAACCTTGTCCACGATCCAGTACGGTTGCTATTAGTGTGAGGCAACAACAGGAGACAGAGGGGTTGGCAGGGGTGGTGACTTAGCGTGAGCGTCACTCTGTTCAGCACTGAAGCCCTATGACTGATTCGTCTTTCACAGAGGGACGTCTGTAGTATTTTGACTTAAAAGACGCCACTGGAAGTGGACCAAACTAAGAGTTTCTGTTCCACGGAAAATTCATTCAAAGTTCTTCTCATTTAGAGCGAATACTGGAAATTGGGAAATTTTCCATGGACAGGAGAGTCCAACAATTCATGTTTTTAAAAAAAATCTCATTTCCCATTATTTTAATATTTTTACAATACATATATTTAGATACATATATATTTCAAAACCTCCTCTTAGTCATATTTCATGCTCGTAAAACATCATAGGCTTTCTTCTTGAGGGAAACACAAAGAACCCCAAAAGCAACCTGAGGAAGGGAAGTGCCTGCAACCCATTGGCTTCCCCTTGGCATGCACGGCCAACAAGAGGAAGGGCGACCCTGTAACTTGGACTGTGGGCCCTCAGCTATTCCGGGTAGTGCTCAAGGGGAGAAAGAAATGTAGGCAGAGAGGCGCATGGAGGTGTTCTGTCACCCCGTCCTGGCCTTTTCTGCACCAGCTGAAGTAAAGAGTGGAAGGATGCAGAACTGAAAATAGCAAATTTGGGAACAGGAGAGCCTTCTGTGCTTTCCGAGTCAAACTGATCATGCAGCAGAGTTTTATTTTGTCACAGCTGGGAGTAATTTAATAACAAGCTGCATACATTTAATCAGAAGACCCTGGTGTACGTAGCATCGGTGCTAAACAAGCAAATAACCCCCCAGATCCCTGGATTGCTGTTCAGTAGTTCTTCCAGAGGACCAGAGCCCTGTTGACAGACCCAGTGACAACAAATCGCTTTTCTCCTATGTGACACGCTGTAAATACCTTCACGTTTTGATCCATAATTCACATGCAGCCAAACTGTGGTTTTGTGGCTGGAGAACAAATTACAACATTACAATCAAGAGGCTCTACAGATACCAGGATTTTGTGCAAGTAAGAATTTAGGCCTTTAGACCCAGGCTGACCATCGCTCGGGTACTTTTCCCTTTGGGATATGCCCTTGTGGGAGCCTGCGTGGGCTCTGCAATCTCCGGCTGTTCCTGAGAAATCCTCCCCGTCCTCGGGGCACCGGTCGTTGGCGATGTATAGCCAAGGCTTGACACTGAAGAAAGAGGATTTATCTACTTCTACTGCCCGGCTTTTACAGGCAGGTTTATGTACGTTATCTTTAACGCTGGGCTAGAGGAGGCAGCAGATGAGTGCTTGGACTGTTAATGTCCCATCATTTCCTATCACCTAAATAATTCATACAGGTGACGATTCAAGGATGGGGAAGGACACAGTATGAGCCACACGCTGATGGTAGGTGCTAAAGCATCACCTTGTTTTACTGGTTCGGAAGTGCCCGGTGCCCCTTCCCGACATCATTCCATGACAGCCTTTTTCCTTCTGGCTCTCCTTTGATGCGTCACCCTCTCCTTCAAAGTTTCATTGAAAGAAAACTTCTTCCAATCTGGGCATTATTTATATCATAGAATCATAGAATCATAGAATCATAGAATGTTTTGGGTTGGAAGGGACCCCTAGAGGTCATCTAGTCCAACCCCCCTGCAGTGAGCAGGGACACCGCTAACCAGATCAGGTTGCTCAGAGCCTCGTCCAACCTGGTCTTGAATGTTCCGGGGATGGGCCCTCCGCCACCTCTCTGGGCAACCTGTTCCAGTGTTTCACCACCCTCATTGTAAAGAATTTCTTCCTTATATCTAGTCTATCTATATGAAGCAGCAGAGGGATTTCTCCTCTCTCTTTGGAGAGCAATGAAGGAAAACAGCAACGTAAAACCTCTGTAACTGGATGGACTGTTCAGGTATTTAGACCCCACCTGCCAGGATCTGAAAAGCAGGCAGCCAGAGGGCATAAAAGAATCAGTTCAATAAAACCATTTAAGCTCTCCGATACTGACATTAATTATCTGATTCTCTACCTCTGAGGTCCACCAGAGCAATGCACTTGATTTGAAAATGAAAACAGGTCACTCTTTTTAAGTATAAATAAGGTAAAATATAACGGGAAGTGGATTTCTCAGGGAGACACTCGGGTTTGAGAATGGGCCCTTGAGAGCCGCTCGCTGCTCCCCAGAGCTCGTCCCACGGCTCGTTCCAGC